CTTGTATCTCCATGGTGCACACCGCCTCTCCCGACCTTCCTGCACCACCACACACACTCCTTGTATCTCATGGTTCACACCGCCTCTCCCGACCTCCCTGCAACGCCACACACTCTCCTTGTATTTCTGTGGTGCACACCGCCTCTCCCGACCTCCCTGCAACGCCACACACACTCCTTGTATCTCAGTGGTGCACACCGCCTCTCCCGACCTCCCTGCACCACCACACACACTCCTTGTATCTCCATGGTGCACATCGCCTCTCCCGACCTCCCTGCAACGCCACGCACTCTCCCTGTATCTCCGTGGTGCACACTGCCTCTCCCTGCACCGCCACACACACTGCCAAAAATTTGTGGAAAAATTTTGTGCTGAAAAATGACAAAAGTTGACTTGGTCAATTAAAGTTTATATTATTAGACAATACTTTTATTACATCATATCTTTGACCTTAAGGATCTAGTAGACTTCCAGGGAGACTTAAAAGGTTATGTTCAAGTTCAGTTAATTGTTTAATGCTTAGACAAACTTGTTATGGTATACTGAGAAAAGAAAATATACAGAGATTGCCAGCTGCCCTGAAAATATAATGCATTCTTACATTTATATATAAACTATTTATTTACTACTTTGTTAAAGACTTTTTTTAACAGTTATTTTTTTCTTTTTCTGTTATACTTTTATTTATTGTTGTTGTATTTTTTGTATTTTAAATATATATTTTCTGTATCTTTATTGTATGTTAGTCCAGATCTCAATGGAGATAGGTTGACAATAAAGTTATTATTATCATACTATGGTAGGTCGTAACCAAACATGTTTTATACTTGACAGAGGTAGTGACAAAACAGAAAGCTGAAACAGAAAGAGCGACAGCACTACTGAACAGTCAAAATGAAAAAGAAGGTATCCTGGAATCCCACGACATTGTCTTATCTAAATCGGATCTTTACAAAACCATCCCAGATACAATAGAGAGTGTAGTAGACTTGAAAGAGGAATTCAGGAAAGGAATCCCAGAACAGAAACCATATGGAATAGATACAAGGCGTTATTTATCACAGACATTATTAGATTTGTCTTATGATTTGGACGCAGTGGTTCAGAAATTGTCCCGGGATCACCCTCTGATGAATGCTCTGTCAGAAAACGTGGAAGAGATTGTAGACGAACTTCATAAGTATGCTACTGATTTAGATAAAAATATTGAAGAAGTAATCACGGAAAAAGATGTTGAACGGGTTTATTATTTTTATGAGCACGCCACTAGTTTGATCAACGTATTAGGAAAGGTTGCTGATGATAAGACACTGTTGAATTTTATGAAAAGTAAGTTTCTTTCACTACATATATGCATATTAACTACACAGTAATTTTATCTCATTCTTTAACTTATTCACCTTTTATTTCCAACAGTTTAATAATACTGAGAATGGCTTTTGGTTTAATCAAAACACGGTACTTTTGGTGGTTTCCAGTTTTCACATTTTTTGATTGATATTAGGATGCTTTATACCTAAATACTTTTAAATTGAAATTTTAAATAGGCATTATTTCGTTTCATTTGTGAATTTTTGCCAAGATAGTGTTTTGAATCACTTTGCGAGATAAACTTTGTTCAATTACTTTCTGCTGCCATGGATTTTTGTGAGTAAAATTATCGTAAGTGTGAATGTACATTTAAAATACATGTCTCGTAATGTCCTATAACAATTAAGAAATGTTTGTGGGGCTTAAGGTACTACATTTGTATTGGGAGGTTGATGGTAGTAACGGTACACTGTCGCAATTTATGCAAAATTCATTCTCATAATTTGTGTTTTAAACTCACATTTGTGATTGTTCATCTGTTTCAGTCTAAAAATTGTTCTACAGAGTTTGGAACCAACACGTGATAGATGCGCTTAAAGTGAGGCAGAGGGTGTATTGTGTATAATGTTTTTATTTTTATGATACACTGTTAGTGTCACATTTTTTCTCCCTTACCTATTTCCTTTTCAGTCTACTGAAAGTCTTATTGATTAATGCTAGGAACAATTATGGAAATTTTTATATCATAAAAACTAAAATTATTTTGTAGTTTTTACAGCATGGTGAATTTATGGTCAACACTCCTGCAAATTTGGTGACAGTGTGCCTTTAACTACTGGTGAATTCAATAGAATTTGTGCTTGCCCATCCATCCCTTTTAAGGCCAAAATTTTCTTGTAAACTCATTTTACAAAAAAGAGAGATTATTACGATTTGATGATTTACTATCATTTCATGACCATCAAAATTTTAAAAAATTTATCTTACAAAATTTGTACAGCAGTTTACAGTATACAGTAAACAATTTAATGTATATCATAGTTTTTAAAATAACTAAATTGAACAGTGTTTGATCAAAACTTTCTGAAATGTTTGTCTGATAACAATCTGGTTTCCTGAAAGCAACATTGCTTGCAACACAGGTGTACATGTATAGTAAGCCAATTAGCTGCTGATATTACTGGCTTGATGTATGAAATAATTTCAATGCCACATTAACTTTTACTCTTTATCATATTACTTCTGAGAGACTTTAACAAACTGCTATGTAACGTCAGAATCTCTGAGGTCTAATCGAACAACTGAACAGTTACTCATACACCTGGACAGGCAAAGCACACCCTAGGTTTATATAAAACTATAACTTTAAAATGAGCTCAGAGTCGCATCAATCTTTGTATAGTTTATAATCTGGCCATTTCATATTGAACATTTACATTATATAAACACATCACATACTTATGTTCATTTCATCACAAGATGAAGGTATACAGTAAACGACTTTCAGACACTCACATTTTTTAGTCACAATTTTATAGCATTTGAAATCATTAAACTAAAATCACCCCGACTCTGTCGATAAAGAATCAATTTCACTACCAAAATGTCATGGTTTATATTTGTGATGCACCCAATTAATGGTCTTGAAGAGTTCTTTTTTGTTCTTAGTTCACTTTTATGTCCAAGGGTGTCTCCATAGGTGCAGTTGGTAAAAGAGATATCAATGTGGTCTTATATTGAGATTTCAGTGGTAATACTATTTGTCATTTCTGTCTTCTAATTTGTACTGTACCTTGGTATATTTTTCCTATCATAGCTGACATAACAAGTGACATTGATTTGGAACTTGATGTAGTATTCAGAACAGAAGAGGAATTGAAAGAGTGGCTATTTACAATTGCAGACATGCTCAATAGACCGGACACTGATCCAGAAAAGATGAAATGGTTACAAGAAACACTAAATGCCAAAAGGTAATGTGAGAGGGTTCTTAGTGTAACCTTGTCTATGCCAAAATGTTGTTTCTTTCTGTATTCTTAATTCCTATCCCCTCAACTAAGATACTAATACTAATAGTTAAAGGTTGGTTATGAGGATACTAATGGTATGTACCCAAATAGGCCGTTAACTACTGATACAATCTAAGCTGCAGTACTTTAACAAAGTAATACTGCAAAATTAGCAAGTTTTAGATGGTTTTTCTGCAGGCCCATCATGGATTATGTGTTGTCACAGTGCCTGTTTTAGGTAACTCTTTGTATAGAAGGACAATTGACCAATGACCCGTAGATATCGCACCCAATTCAGAGGTATGTATGGGGGTCTAAAAACTAACTCTGCGACGGGATTGTGCGACTCGCCGAATGTCGATTATTGCACTCTGCGACAGGATCGCAGTGTCACTCTGCGAAGAGCACGATTTCCATTGGTTGGTTGGTCGAAAAGCGTGAATCTCGATGGTCGATCGATGTAAGCGTACACAGCATGCCTTATAGAAATGTTCAGTTTTAAATGGTTATTTCGCCGACTGCTCGCGAACTACGGTAAACAAGTATTTACCGACGACATGCCGCACGGTTCGGTAATCAGCAAGTATTTAACATTGATTTATTAACATGTATAACATCCCTCGGAGGGGATGAGAGGGGTTACAAAACACATGCACGTTGGTGTTGGATGCCTTATTACGGTGTAACATCAGGGAGCTGGTAACATTAACGCCATTTTGAAGTTGTAAGGCTTCGTCGGCAACTATCCTCATTAGCATAGGCGGCAGCTTCAAAGCGTTTAGAGCGCGAAGTACGTTTCACACGACCCAGGGCACGCGATGTTACTTTTTTTTTTTTGTCATTAGCAAGTATAATTTGTTGTGACTATATTCATCACTTTGAATTCCCAAATAAAGCGTGTAGCGGGTCAAACTGTGTGGCTGTGATTTGGCTCGAAGTATAGCCACTGTACTCTATAGGTCGGAACAATTCACGAAGTCGGAAAGTCTCATGTCAGGATTGACATTTATTGAACTTTGAAAAGGAAAC